TGCTGCTTGTGAGTTGAGGTGAAAAAATTTATTTATTTTTTGGTTTTTTTAGGTTGCCGCAATTGCGGCGACTGACTGAAGACGCGGGCTTTATCCTCTCCTTTTATTTATTTATTTATTTTTATTTATTTTTATTTATTTATTTATTTATTTGTATAATTATATTTATTTATTCATTTATGTAATTATATATTTATATTTATTTATGTATTTGTTTATTTACGTAATTATCTAATTATACTTATTTATTTATTTATTTATTTGTTTATAAAAATGAAACAAAGTTTTTTGTTTGTCTGTTTTCTTCTTAGTAAAAGAAATAAAAAAACCTAAACCCTAAACCCTAAACCCTAAACCCTAGAATTTAGCTGCGGGGTTTTCGCTCCATCGTCACCAACACTCTGCCCATTCCTGAGACAATCACACAACCCTAAACCCTAAACCCCAAACCCTAAACCCTAAACCCTAAACCCCAAACCCTAAACCCTAAACCCTAGAAACTAAGGTAGTGGACGGGTTTTACACAGTTCAAACAACGACCAAGCGAAGGAAAAATATTTAATACACACTGCTGCTGCTGCTGTTGCTGCTGCTGCTGCTGCTGCTGCTGCTGTTTATATAATACGAAGCATTGAATTTCATTTGTATTGATATTTTTATTTATAATAAAAATTATTTATTTAAAAAAATAAAATAAAATATTTTTATTACCGCCGGAGAGAACCTGCAGCGCCGCAGCCACCAATTTGAGGTCGCCGTGAATCAGCGTCTGCATTTCTTGCTGCGCACTGAAAACAAAAAAAAAATAAAAATAAAATAAAATAAATAAAATTAAATTAAACTAAAATAAATAAGATAAAATAAAGTAAAATAAAACAAACAAATTGAAGCAATAAAATAAAATAAAATAACATAAAATAACATAAAACAAAATAATATAACATAAAATAAGGTAAAATAGTAAAATAAAAGAAAATAAAATGAAAGTAAAATAAATAAAAAAAGCAACAATAAAGAAATATCGCCAGCACAAGCAAATTAAAACGATAAAACAAACAAACAACAACAAAATACATAAATCTAAATAAAATAAATAAATAATAATATATCAACAAACAAAGAAAAAACAAAAAACTGTAAACAAAAAAAGCAGATATGCAGCTTTCAATAAAACAGAAAAAAATTTTTTTAATTTTTTTATTTTTTTTAATATTTTAATTTATTTTAATCTTTTTATATGATATTTTTATTTCTACATCTTCGTTTTCCTTTTTTAAATTTCAGTTATTTTTTTGTGTATTTCAATAATTTTTTTTGTTTTCTGGGTGAAGTATATTTCTCTATATGAAGCCAGTATTT